CCCCCCAATCTTCACTTCCCGCCCCCCCCACCCGACTTTAAATTCCTCTGCGCATTAAGGCCAAAAGGTACGTCAATTTAATGGAAAGGGCAGTCCCGAAGTTAACCCGAAAGAGACAGAAAATGACTGATCTAGCCCACGGGAGGCAAGTCCGTAGCTACAAGGCCCGGAATGGAAACGCCGGTCCCCAACATCAATATTAATTAGGGGACCTGTTGCAGGTACGAAAATCTGCACACGACCGAAAACTCACTCCCAAGTTCTCTAATTGTTTCCGCGTTGTCGAGCTCGGACCCAACGGTGCCAATACGGTGCACATTGCGCCCGAAGCTAGTGCCAGCCATAGCTCTGTCCCTATCGTCCGCCATATCTCTTACATTCGTCTCCTCCCTCCTTCTGATCTCCCTCCGTCTCCCTCTTTTGCTGAAGACGAGGACGGCGACGATCTAGCTCCCGCCTCGTTCTCTCCCTCTTGTTCCCATCCCTCATCTTCTTCCCCATCCTCGCCATGAGTTTCATCACGGAGCAAGCTCTTGGCAATCATCTGCTTCAGCCACGTGGCAAAATCTCGGAGATCCGGCAAGTTCGTCATCCGCGGCTCAGTCCTGATCTACGACGACTGGCGCAGTTCTTCTGCACCGAGGGCGTGTGTGTCGCCGCGGCGTTCCGATTTGCCGGAAGTCCGCAGGCAGTAGTATTGGCAGAGGTGGTAGCATTTCATTGGCGAGCCGCTCCAGGAACGAGCCACGTCACCACGGTCGCTGCCTTCAGCGGCGATATCACCGCAGTTAGCCCGCTTCGGCATACCGCGATCATGCCCTCATTGCGGGAGTGGACGCAGCAGTTATCGACTGAGTGGCATCACGGTCTTGCACGCCCCGGGTGCAACCTCGTCCCAATGTACGGGACTGACTTCGACGACCTTCGTACCTCTACGCGCCGACCGACAGTGGTGCTCCCCACCCTCGTCCCCTTTCAACGCCCCCAATGAACCGCGCCGCCCCTCTCGCTTGTCTCTCCACCTTTGGTCTTCCCTCTCTCTTCCCCACCTTCTGGCAATCCGATCTTCATCCTCGCCTTTCCTTCTTTCTCGAGCCCCTTGCAGTCCAGCTCCTTGATCCCAGGCATTGGCGAGTGTGGCGCGAGACTTTTGTCGATCTGTCTGTGTGCTTGGCTCGAGTGGAGGTGACGTGGACAAGGACCGACGGCGTGTATTGAGTACCTGGAGCTGCTGATCATCCAGGCCTGGAGAACTGACATGGAGGGCGATCTTCTCGGTTTTCTTTTCGGATCAATGCGGCCAGGCCATTGCCAGCAAATTGTCCAGGAACTCGTCGTCCCGCTCGCGCAACTAGTCAACGACCTCTCTCTCGATGTTGTTTCGCAAAGTGACGAGAGCCCGGCTCCGCACGTCGTTACGCGAACCTTGGCGCTGTATGTTCAGTGGACTACATGCTTGGAGGAACCGGGGAGTGAAAGCACCCTGCCGTCGCGGCAGGAGTACTTGAAGTCGTCCGGTGTCATCGATATTGCCTTCTATCCGAAGCAAGATACGTCCGAGGAGGCGATAGAAGAGGAAGAGGAGGAAGCCACCGAAGAAGAAGGCGACATCGAAGAAGAGACGTCGGAGGAAGGGAGTTATAGTGAGCACAGCAAAGGAGAGCAGAGTGAAGAAGAAGAAGAAGAAGAAGAAGAAGAAGAAGAAGAAGAAAAAGAAGAAAAAGAAGAAGAAGAAGAAGAAGAAGAAGAAGAAGAAGAAGAAGAAGACGAAGCAGAAAAAGACGGATCGGAGTGGGAGACCTTGCCGGAGGAAGTGGCGCGCACAGGCACGGAGGCGGAAGATCCTGAGGTGGCACGTAAGAGAGAAGAGATCGCCGCCGGGAAAAGCCAGCTGGAATTCGCCAGCGAGGCGAACCTGCGCATCAACGATGACCTGACCAGGGATCCAGAGCCCCCAAGCCCGAAGATGGCGAACCAGCAACCGCAGCTCCGACCACATCGCGACGGAGACGGAGCCGATCCCCCTCCCCTTCCACCTCAGCCCGTCCCCCAGTTCATCCACGTACCGATGCGGGGGATCGGCCTTCGTCCCCGGTCGTTATCCCTCCGTCCCCTTCATTACCTCACCCTCTCTTAGATCTCTACCCTCGTCACCTTCACTCACAACCCCTTCCCTCCCAGCACCTTCCGTCACTTTTTCTCCACCCGCCTCGCCATCACCGTCCATCCCCATCCTTCCCTTCAATGCGTGAACCCCACGTTCTGTTTGCATGTCCTTTCGTTCAGTGCCGCGTGGGAGCAGAGCAACGCAGTAGAAGTCTACTGCGTAATCACAGGAACAATCCCCTCGTCTCGCCATCACAAGTTGTTTCGCGCGGCACTCTTCCGCACTTTCTGCACTCTCTACCTTGACTACCTCACCTCCCTCCCTCAAAGCGGCGATTGTTTTCCCCGCTTTCATCGGATCATCCGCTACGAGGACCTTCCAATCACAGAGGAAGGGATGAACCGCTACCTACCCCCACTTCCTCCTAACCTTCCCTATCGACACCCCTCTATGAATAATGTCAACTTTCTCATTCCCACACGATGCTGATACCCGCCACGTGTCCCCCAAGCAACACGAATCAGCAGTTTTCGCGAAGATCACGCGATTGACGACGACGCCAACTTATGCTCTGATTCGGCGGATTGTGCTGGACTTGGGGTGCAGAGCACACAGAGACCTGATGGACCATGATGGTGCCACCTGGACGATCTCCCAAGTTTGAAGGGCAGGGGGTTGCATATGATAAGACTGCAAAGGATGGGGAATCCACGACAGCATGAGCCGGCATGCATCACGAAGATCTTGCCACGGATGTTGTCGTCAACTAATGCCCCGGCTCAGCTTTCTTTGCTGAAATTGTACTCTTACTTCTTCATGCTTCTTCGTCTCCTCCCACCTCCTTGGTTCAAGGTTTTTTTTTTCCATGCAATCAGGAGATCACATAGTTTTGGAACCCCTTGCGCGTCACATATGTGACGAACCACTTCCCAACCCCGCGCTATCTTTCGTACCCCTTATCTCAATCCCCCCCTTCTTGTATCATACCGACCCAATAAAGCCCCAGTCGCTTTTCCGGATTTCAGGTGCCTTATTTAGGCCCCCATTTTTCGGAGGTTCTATTGATTCTTGCAACTCTGTTTTTTGTAATTCGGGAAATGCATGGGAAATTACGCGCACCTTAGCGAGCGCACTGGGAATCGGGCTCGACAGTTAGGAATTCTGGAGTAAGCGGAACCCCACGTATCTTTTTCTTTGTATGAATGTTCTTGGTCACAATGGAGAAAACTCTAGGAATTTTGTGAGAATACGGATAGGCATAAGACTTTCTTTTCCCGCGTCGACTTTGACGCGCGGATATGGTGATTTCAATTTTTGAATTGGTATAGGACATAGGCAAGTTGTAACTGTTTTGGTGCCTTTTCTTTTTGTTGTCGACGTCGCGCATGCGAGCTTCCTCCTCCTGATTTCCCGCGGTATTTTTCTCTCTCCCTTCTCCCTCCTCTTTTTCCCCTATCACAACTGTTTCTCCCTTTCTCTACTCCTTGCGCGTCCGTTTTCCATTCTTGATCATTTGAATATTGGACCCGTTTCGCGCTGCTTTTCGCGCCTCTTTCCTTCTCGCTTTTCAACCTTGGCTCACGAAGCCCGGTTGATCCTCCGATTACCCTCGCTCACCAATCAGACGCATTCGACTCGGACCTGTTGCGTGACGAATCTGATTGGCTGAACATTGAGTTCCGAAGGATCAACATGGCTTCCCTTAAGCACCCCTCGTTGAATCTTCTCCTCTTACACCTCGATTTCCCCTCTGTCTTCTCCCCCGTCTGCCTTTTTTTTTACAACTATAAATTCCGCAAACGCGCCCACAAAGCTCTCTTCCGGTTTCCACTCGCAAGCCAGCTTCCGGAAAGCAGTGGCTAGGTGATGCGTTTGGTGCGAGTCGAAAAGTCTTGTCAGGCTGACTGTACGCTGACCGGTTGCACGCTTGATCGCCACGATGGACAGTGGGATCCGGGCGAGCCGAGTCGAGTTTGCGTCAGCGGGGTGACGATCGCAGTGGCGGAAGTTAGCACGAGACGGCAGGGATCGTCGGTGCGAGTATGAGGATCAGTAATTAGAGTGAGTGGATGATTGGTCCGAGGCCATACTGGAATTTCATGGCGAATGTGCCTTCATGGTTGCGGATCATTTCTTTTGGTGTGAGTTTATGGCTGTGAAGCCGAATGTTCCCATGTCGGATTCCGGTGTCTTCTGTCTCGACATTTCTCGTCATTCTCTCCCTTTTTTTTTCTCTCTCTCTCTCTCTCTCTCTCTCTCTCTCTCTCTCTCTCTCTCTCTCTCTCTCTCT